TTTTGTTTCTTTCATGTTTTTAAAAGTCATTTAAGTTGAGAATACAGACCTTGGTAGAAGTTTCATTAAACTTAGTGGAACTGACTTATGAATAGTATACAGGTAATCCTCACTTAACTACAGTAATTGGGACAGGCAACTCCATCACTAGGCAGTTGGTAAAGCGTAATGTCATGTAACTGTGCCTGACACACAATGGTAGTTGTGGCAATTACAGAGGAAAAATTGTGGTATTTTAATGTGTGAGATGGTTAACATAATATCTATTATAGGTAATTAAATGTCCAACTTGGAAAGCAATCTCCTGGTTCTGAAAGTTAAAAAAAATGATGTGATTTTTAGAAATCTTTTATAACCCATATTTGGGGAAAATATTTTTAAAAATTCACATGAAACTTTATATAGAAGCTTTCATCAAAAGGAAAATACATTCTCCTTAAAAAGTATGTGTACATTAAAAAAATATTTTTGATACTGCAGATCACCTGATCACTTGAGCTACTTGGAATGCAATAGATTCCTGCATACGCTGCAGAACCATATATTGTTCAGTGGAGAAATTACTATAATTATGTGGTCATTGTCATCATCATCATCATCATCTCAGACTGCTCCAATGAATCCAGTAGTGTCAGATGTTGCAATACAATATGGTTAGGACTGCGTCATTGCTTTTCTTAACTGGATTTCTCGGGCAATCTTTCCATGCATACACTTTAATGTTAGATTTTCAATCAATCTTTTCCCTCAATGTACCTGTTGATAATTGATAACATGAGACTACTAATTTGAAAGTAATTTCATCTGTACATTAGTTTAGAAAACCCCCGGAAATAGTATATTATCTGACAAGCGAATCAACTGTGAGACAAGCATTAACATTCCTTGGTCCTATATCCTATATCTGTTAGAGTTTCTAAAAAAACTCTTGTTTGGCACCTTCATTTCTGGTGCTTTATAGCAGATGGCGCATTCCTTATTTCCAAACTATAATAGGGTGATTGTTGTGCACAGTAACTGAGTTACCTCATTTTTCTTAAAGGAAAGCAAGACTCATCAAATTTAGGCTATGAAGAGCTAACAAAAATGATATTCACTATTTAAAACATTTGAACCAGACAACAGTGAATGACTTTTGTACTATTCCCAAGCAAACTACAGGGGAAATAAGATAGTCAACAGGAGTTGAGTCTGACTTCAGGCAGTCTTTATCTGAAACAAACTTGGAAATCAACCTTGGACTTTACTTCTGGTAATGGACTTTACTTAACGGCTAGATCTCTAGAGCCTCCTGCAAACTTCTCTGGTGCTTCCAAGTCCAGAAAACAAAATCCATTTCCAGAAAAGTAGATACAGTGGAACTAATTTTTAAATTATCAAAACAGTCTGAATTCTATCTACATTCTCATCCATACATAGGAAGTGAGATGGGTTACAAGCTGAGAAAACCTTATTATTCTAAAATTAGAATGTAATATAAGTTAAAAAGTGGCTATATAATCAGTTAATCAAATTTGATTTCCTACAGCAACAATACAAGCTACTCATATGAAAATGGGCCCAATCTACAGAAGTCAACAAAGAGTTGTTGAACATTTAAAAGTGAAACTAACAAGTTCATTTAATACAAATGAAAGTTCCATTTAATATGAGTAAATGTCAAATGTAAGCATTCTCATATCCCATGCCAGGCACATAAAAAGCACAGCCCATCAAGTATTCTTTTTGTGGTCTCCAGAAGCCAACTGGATGATCATGCAAAAAATCTAAGGCCTTTTTTATATTTCAGACAATCTGATTTGGGCTTAAGGGGGCAATAAGCCTTGCTTAAAGCACCTCCGATAGCCCTTAAAATTCCTTAAACTGTCTCCCAAAATGGATCCTAGCTCTATCCAGTTTGGGAATATGACAGTGATAGTAGTACTGTATTATATCTACACATTACTCTCCTGTACCTTCTCAACCTCTATCTTTTTGTAATCCCAGGTAAAAAAACAAAACCTGCCATCTTTTTATTATTGAAATCTTACACAGAAGTTCTAGCTTTCTCCCTAGAATTTCTATGCATTACTGTTAAAATAAATGTTGAAATAAAATATTTGGAGTAGACTACCAGAATCCAAAGAACATTCATATGAACACTAAATATTGTTTTATTTAATGAGCTCATTTTAACTATTATAAGAGGAACAACCAAACAGTAAAGGACTGTCATCCACACATGGAATAAAAGAAACAAAACAATCAACTCAAAACTTTAAAATCCAGCATGCAAAATGTCAAATACAAGCAATCAATGTAAAACATATTTTCTCCCCTATCTTTCAAATCACGGGTTGGCTGAAAATCTAGAATGTTGGCACTTTATCTACAAATCACATTCCTTTTGAAGTTAAATAGATTTTGCCTCTGGAAGTGTTTCTGATAGCCAAGAGCATTGTGTCTAGAGAAACTATTATCCTTCATTTTTCTTTGCAGAGGTTGCAGTGAGTGCAGACAAAGAGAAATCAATTCTTTGAAATCCTATTTAAAAATATCAATACCTTTCTGGATAATATTTAGTGTAATAATAATCGTAAAAACTTGAGTATAAGAATATTCAACCGGAGAAAGGACTACAAATTAAAATAAAAAATATTTTAAAAGGAACTGTTTATCTACAGTATTTCAATTATTTTATCAATTGCTGACTCACTCTAGGAAAATTATATATGGGAAAAGAAACAATAGCAACCATACTTACTTCAGATTTTAATTTATTAGAACAATTTAGCCACAAATAAGGAAATTAAATAAAAATTCTAATACACAGTGTACAATAAATGCTAGGGTTGCTAAAACAGATACCCTTGGTTGAAGCTTGTTAGAGAAATTAAATAATCTTTTCAAATATTCTAGAGTTGCTAATTCATGTTTTTCCCTAATCAATTTTACCCTGAGAACCACATTCATGACTTGTTTGTCCTGCACTTACCCAAATCCAATTACCCACTAACTCTATTCAATCTACAGTGAAGGAACTTCAGAGACCTTATTTATTTCTAAAGTCTATCACCTGTTTCTCATTGCAACCATGCCCTCAAGTTTCAATGCACAGAAGCATCACATTTTCAAAAGTAAGAAACTTACCATTAATTAGAAAGACTCTTAATAGTTTTAGCCAAGTTGGTAAGCAACAATAGTTCTTGCTTCGTGTAAAAGTTAATTTAAGGCCAGTTTTTGCTATTTTATGTACTTTTTGGGAGGAATATTATGAACAGATATAAAGTATTGACTCCTTTCAACAATATTTTTTTTAGTTATGCTGAGTGACGATAAATGTATACTTCTATGCACAAAAAACATCTACGCATCTTTCCTGCCATAACTTCTTTTACCTATAATGGAAATGGGACAGGATCCTTACACTGCATTAAAAACTATTGTTTTTACTTTACACGTGAAAGTATTAGCTAAGCCAAACGAGATCAGAATTATTGAGGTATCGGCAATAAGATATGGTAGGTGTTCGTACAATTACTTCATACATCATTCTGAGTCTTGAATTCTTTAATTACACTGAGCCAGTGAAAGCAAAGCTAATTTTACAGTCAGCATTTCCTTTCCTTCCCATCATTGCTGCCACACACTTTCCCACTAACTGCAACTATTCAAATCAGAACTGATAAATGGTGCCTAACATACTGTCAGTGATTCCAGAAAAGAATGAACAGAGCTTATGTTTGCTTAGAAAAATAAGCACCATCAACAGTGATGGCATATTTCATATGAACACAGTAAAACTATGGGTCGATTCAACTTTTACTGCATTATTGCATCTCAAATGTCCTTTCCCTCTCACTTGTAATAAATTCTGACATATTACCAGAAACAGTATATAATGCCAGATTTTATACAACCTAGATATTCAACTTATCTTCCTTAAGTCAAGCCACTATTAACAATGTGAAATGGGCATTCCAGTCATATTTCTGCTACCCCAAGTCTAACATCTTGCATCCTTGAGTGTGTCTGTGTTTATACACCACCATTTAAAAATACTCGCATGTATTAAGACTTTTTCATTCTTGTTTTCCCCTATTGTACTGTTCCTATAACAACCATCCAGTGAAAACTAACCATTCCTTTTTATTTCTGAGGCTGTTATGTGAGGGCAGCATCCAACAGTAATTGTTTAGATGAACCTATATAGGAATGCTGCACAAGACAAAAACAAAACTAAGACCCAGAAAAATTGTGTGTGTGTGGGAGGAATCTTACTCCTTGCTATGGATGATGGATTGACAGAGCAGCCCTACTTTTGGAGGTCACAATATAGGTATCTCTGCTTGGCCTAGAAGATCCGGGCTGGCAGACACAGAATAACTACTGGATCCCAAGAGGATCCCAAGGGAAAAAAATGGATGCCCATTCCAGTGGGTAATCAGTACTAGCAGAGGCATCGAGAGATCCGAGCAGAAAGTTTACCTGCAAGGTTACCTTCTGCCCAGATTGCCCGTTCCTTCCCCACCTTTCTGCTTGCCCATGGACGACCGACTATCCAAATAATCTGGAAAGCTTCCACGTAAATCGAGACTGGCAGGCCAACAGCAGAACTAGACACACCAGAAATATTTCCCAGCGGCTGCACTGCGGGGGGAGGAGGGGGAACCGGAGTCTCGCAGCACGAAGGAAGGACAGAAAGTCGCCCGGGGAAAAGAAGCCGGCCCCGGGTGTGGCGAAGGGAGGGGAGGGAAGCATCCCACCGAGGCGTGGCTGCAGTACGAGGTCGGGGGCGGAAGGGGGATCCAGAGAAGGCCTCCCCGGAGGGGGGAGGGGGGAAAGTGGGGGTGTTGACCCTTCGCCTGAGACGAAAGAGGCGCCGGGCGTCACCCCGAAGAACACCTCGGTCCTCTCTCGGTTTCCTCACGAAAGCAAAGCCGGGGCTTCGCCCTCGGAGCCCCTCGACTGGCCGCGCGAAGGAAGCCCCGGCCGCAAACTCAACCCCCGGCTGCACTCACGTTCTCCGTGTCCCGCTCGTTGACGGTGGGCAGCGGCGTGCGGGTGGACATCTTGCGCGTGCGGTTGCGCCGCCCTGCAAAGCCGGCCCGGGCCAAGACTGGGAAGGGCCGGCCCCACGACCGCCTACCGGCCTGGCCACGCTCCCCGCCCGCCTTTCCCGCTCCGGGCTGGCAGGCCTCTGCGGGGCGGCTTCTCCGCTGGAGCTCTTTAGCGAGGCGAAGGCAGCCCCCTCTTAGACTCCCGGAGTCCCTGCCATGGCTTCTGGGTCGGCTGCCCTCGCCGCCGCCCCCTGGGCCGGGATCACGGCGGCGGCGGCGGCGGCGGCGGCGACTCCTCCTCCCGCTGCCGCCACTGCGCGCTCAGGTGAGTAGCCGGCCGCGCTGCGCAGGAGAGCCGGAGCTCTTCCCTCCCCGCATCCGGCGGCGGCGGCGGCGGCGGCGGCGGCGGCTGCTCCTCCCCGTTCCCCTCCTTCCTGAGCCGACTGGGGACCACGGCTGGCGCTGAGCTGCCCGCGAAGGACGCGGAGTCGCAAAAAGCAGCCGGTCGCGGGCAGTGCGGAGAAAACGCTAGGGGCGCTTCAGCCGCGCGGCTCTGCGGAGAGGCTCGCGCCTTCATTCATTGCTGAGCCTCCCTCCCGCCGAGCACGAACGCAAATCCACACCTCCCGCCCTTTCGGGCTGCTCCTCCTCCTTCTCTTCACGCTGTAGAATTCCGACGGAGGAGATTTTCCGGGCGCGAACGACGCGGGAAACCCACGTGGAGTTTGACCTGTATGTTTTCCAAGCCGGTGGAAACGGGGAGATTCGTGTCCAACAAGGGTCCCAGCGAAAACCAGTCCCTCCCTCACCCCGCTTTAGTTTCTACGCTTTTGCCTGGCGGCTACCTCATTACATTGCAGGGAAAGATCTTTGATAACATTTTGCATCCAGACTGTGAGACTCGCACCCGACTCTGTCTGCTTTGATTAAAAAGTTACTTAAAGCAGAGTTTTGCAATGGCGACCAGGAACAGGCAGAATTAGACCAAATGGCATAGTCTTAATTCTGCCTTTTCAGAAGTTCAGATTGAATTTCCACTGTTGAATTGCTGGAAAAGTTGAGGTGAGCTGGACGTAAAAGAATGTAGTGAAAACTGCTGTGACAATCTTCAAAAGGGGATGCCAAAAGTAATAGTTGAGACATTATACCCATAATATGATGTACAGTATATATAAGCAAAGAATTCCTATGTTAATTGCCAGTTAAGGGTATAGTACTTGTTTTAACAGCACCGACGATTATCTTCACACAATATTGGAAAGATGAAGAAACACTGCAAGATGAAGAGATAATTAAGATACTAGATCGTGCAGAAATAAATAGACTTACATTGAAAATCAAGCAGAAAGAAGATAGAATATTATCAAACATGGAACTTATTCTCCAGAAAAAAGGGGTGAAGAGTAAGAAAGGAATCTATATTGTTAAGCAAATTAAATACCCAGATAACATGTTTATTATGCAGTAAGAATTGTAATTAATAGAAAATTAATAAAATTTATTTTCAAAAAAGAGGATAGTACACAGAAAAGATTTTCAACATGCATTTATGTCAGAGGTCTCCAAACTTGGCAACTTTAAGACTTGCGAACTTCAGTTTGATTTATGTAAACCTGGAGCAAAGGTGGTAAGGGTTAAAAGTTTGAATTAAGCCCAATCTATTTGTTGAAGGAGCAGTCAAATCTACCTAATGCAGGATATAGCAATGCCAATAGCACTTAGACTTATATACCTCTTTATAGTGCTTTACAGCCCTCTCTAAGCCGTTTTACATATTGTCCCCAACAATCTGGGTCCTCATTTCACCCACCTCAGAAGGATGGAAGGCTGAGTCAACCTTGAGCCTGGTGAGTTTCGAACTGCCAAATTGCAGGCAGCTGATAGTCAGCAGAAGTGGCCTGCAGTATAGCACTTAACCAGAGATTTTGAGAAGGCCATCACAGAGAAGTACTGGGGTTGGTGGGAGAAAATTGTAATCTTTGGGGAGAATTTATGTGATTAGGATTAATTTTTCTTGCCTATAATGTTAATTTCAGACAATGCTAGTTTTGACATACAGAATATGCCATTTGAACAATCCCAGAAAGACATATCTAAATTTGCATAGCAGGGGGAAAATCTTCGAGTTGAATATAAGGTGTCACAAGATGCAAAAGAAAGGAGAATTGAGCTTACCTGATTTGAAATTATATTTTGCAGCTGTTTGGTCTGGATGGAAAGAATAAAAGTTGTTAAGAAACAGGAGGCTTTTGGAGTTAGAAGGCTATGATTTGAGAATTGGATGGCATAGATATCTACAGTATGATAAAGCAAAAGTTAATGTAGATTTTTTTAAAAAAATTGTTAGATGTGCCACACTAAGCATATGGAATACTTAGGCTGTGCCCCAAAATGCCTTTGTGGCTGTCAGCACAGAAAGCATTTTATAGAAGAAAATGATTACTAAACAGAAATGGTTGACTTGCTCTGATACATTATAATTTTATAAAGGAAACTGTTGAATAGGAACAAGACAAACACTGATGGGGTAAGGATATTCATGTCTATGCATTTTGTATGTATAATTATTAGAAAAATTTAAAAGTAGATAAAAGATTAACAAATGAAAGTATGGCAAAATAGGCTAAAAACTTATGTTATATACAGTCAGTGGCAGAATATGTGATTGAATGGATTGAATTTTACACTATATCATAGTTTTAAAGAGAATTTTTATAAAATGTTGATACATGTCATCTGAAGTTATAACTTTTTGTATAAATGTTTTTCAAAGTAATGCAAGAAATACAATCAATAAGAAGGGACATTTATAATGCTTGGTAAATATATAAAAAACCAGGAAATTTTGATACAATATAGAATATTTTAAAGATACATAACACAATTGAAATAATATTTTTTTCTTTTGGGACTGATAGATAAGCAACTGGAAAAAATACAGAATTTTGTTTTTATATATGACTGCAGCAGAACTATTATATGCCCAAAAGTGGAAAGATTCAACTGTAAAAGAAAAATGGACTCACTTTTTTTTTCCTTTTCTTTAATTTCTGCACTTGTATCTTTGCTTTTTTCTTCCTTCTTTCATTCTTTGTTCATTCCTAATATTAGTTCATGTTAGTTTTTATTCTGTATCAAAATTATAATAATTTTTTATTTTTAAAAAAGAACAGGTTCTGGTAAAGCTAAGGTGCTGCAAATAATTCAATTTCAGTCTTCTGTGCCCCAAATGCTTTTTTTGAAAAAAGTACTGTTCTGGGCACCAAGGTGTCAGTACTGATACACAGCTTTTGCAGATCAAATCAAAGCCTCTTTCCTCAGCACCTGCAGAAGACATAAGAAGAAAAAACAGAAAAACAAGATGTTAGTTGTGTGAAAACTATGCAGAACTAAAATAGTAGAAAACGATTTGTGTTAGTAATGATAATTCAGTTTGTTGTTCTTTTTATCAAGGAGTTCCATATGGGATTCTTCAAGTACCATCTGCATTATATATACAGTAACTAAGTTTACAGCACTATTCTAAAAAATATGTAACCAGCTTTAAATACTCTTAATATATAAACAAGATATATAAACAAGCAGGTGCAGATGGTTAAATCTTTATTGTCATCCCAGTTCCATTGATATTTTTTGATTTTCAGAAGCACCACATGGATTTCTCCATTTGTGACCATAGGAGCAAGCAGCTTAAATTAAGAGCTGTACAAATGTTGTCAGTGTCACCAATAAGCCTGGAAAAACTTGATGCTTTATAACTGTATTTGATGTTGAGGTAACCATATGCTGTCTTGGATTATCATTGTACATAATGCTAGAATATACTTCTAGTAATTCAGGCAGTTCTTTTCCTAATAGCTCATTTTTATGTCAATAGTACAGTACTAATTATAGGTTGGTCTTAAGAAGGGAAATAGGGCTGTATGTGAGAGCAAAAAGATTTAATTGGAATGCAACAGTCCATAAGAAATGATCATGGTCACAGCTTCTCATTTGCTGGACTCCATTATCTCCCTGCCTAACTGAATAAGCTTAGCTAATAAGGCTTTGTGATTACTTGATAGGTTTACAAGTTGTGGTTTAGTCAATTTTCAATTTTCTGAAGTTTGTACAAATTCAATGTAATAAACAAAATTTTCATTGCATAGATTTGAAATACACAGGGCAGATTTAAAGATTGAGTTCATACAATCTTAATCATTTTATTTGTTTGTTTACATCAATGGTGGCAAACCTTTTTCAGCTCTTGTGCCGATAATTGCGTGCACGCTCATGCGCTTGTGTGCCAGCATCCAGAAGGCAATGCATGCTGGGCCCCCCCACATGCCCTGCGCCTGCGCGTGTGATCCCCTCGCAGTGCTGCTCGTCTGCACATGCGTCATGCACCTGCGATTCCTCCTGCACGCCATGCACCTCCGCATGCATGTGTGATCACGCCACATGCCTCTGCACATGCGTGCGTCTGCGCATGCATGCAATCACTCCCATGAGCCATCCATTTGTGCATGCATGCATGATCTCTCAGTGTGCCATCTGTGCATACACCTGTGACCCCCAGCGTACGTTGCATATCTCTGCACATGTGTGTGTGTGTGTCCCGTGCACCCCCGATCCCCCCGCACATGCGCACCATATACCCGACAATCAGCTGTTGAGCGGCCGTACGTGCACATGTGCAGTGCGGCTCTTCCAGGCGAGCTCTCGCATGCTGGGGAAATGACTCTGCATGCCACTTCCGGTATGCGTGGCATAGGTTCGCGATCACGGGTTTATAGCCTGCCATTTGTTCAAGATGGCATACACAGAACCTCCTCCCTTTTCTTCCCTACAGTGAAAGCCCCTGCAAGAAAAGTGAGCTGAGATTGACTATCCCATAGTCACCTAGTGAAGCGGTCACCAACAAGTGAGCTGCGGCCCACTGGTGTTCCAGGAGAAAATTTTGGTGGTCCGCAGAGAAATGTCACCCCTAGAGCAATTAATCCAGGCTGCACAGGAACACAAGGGCCCTCTCTCCCCACCCACTCACTCCTTACCAGGCAAGAGATTAGCTAGAAAGCAGGAAATCGTTAGATTTCTTGACTTCTAGCTAATCTTTAGATCTTTGGCTCTGTTTTTAAACAGCTGAATCTTCCTTAAGACTGAAGCAGTGCAGACTCAGCTAGCCGATGGCAGAAACACGCATCTCTAAGTGAATCTGATTCTGTGAGCAACTCAATCTGCCTGCCTGCTTTGCCTGATTTTGGGTAAAAGTTGCTCTTTTTTAATAAAAAAAAAAATTCAATATTTAC